CTCCGGGGGGTGAACAAAGGCCTTCTGTAGCGAATCGATGCGTTTTTGTAAGAAAAATATGCATATTTAAAACGTAATAATCACTTTAATGTAGCTTGTGCTCACTGTTGTACACGGAAGCAGCTCCGGGTAGATGACGTATGAGGTCAGTGCTGCGTATGTGCCGGTGAGTCTTGTGAAAACCAACGTTTGTTAACAGGAGCAAAGGAAGCAAAGTTTCCTTACTTTAGCAAAGGAAAACCAGTCTCCTCTTGGCTTATATCGAAATCCTCCGACATTCTTCTTTACAAATCCTCGTTTTGTACTTCTAATTAGTGACCGTTGTTTTGTTTTGATCTCTCCGCTGCGCTTCCGCGTGCATAACTTTCTGAACGGAGCATGCGCAAAGCCGACCTCATACGTCATCAGCCCGGAACTGCTTCCAGTGTACTACAGTGAGCCCAAGCTACATTAAAGTGATTATTACGTTTTAAATATGGATATTTTTCTTACAAAAACTCATCGATTCGCTACAGAAGGTCTGTGTTCACCCCCCGGAGGCGTGAGACACTTTTTTTAATGGATGGGCGCATTTTAATTAAGTGCTTTTGGACTGATGCATGCAACACCCGCTGAGTGCCATGAAACAGCTTGAAAGATCAAAGACAATTTTTAATATAACTCCGACTGGATTCGTCTGAAAGAAGAAAGTCATATACACCTAAGATGACTTGAGGGTGAGTAATTTATGGGCTAATTTTCATTTTTGGGTGAACTAACCCTTTAAGCCTTGTCTGTGAAACCATGGGTACATGTATCAAGCTGTAAGCATTACACTTTTCTAAGCAATAAGTATCATATTTCATACAAATTGACATACTGTACATGTATACAACATTAGCAGTCACTACTAATTTTGTCCATTCCTAAAAAAAAGAAACATGATTTTGTACTGTCATTCATGCACATATGCTTTGTCTGTATTACCACACAGTTCATAAACAACATTCTGACATTTTATAAGTTAAATTCTTATTGCTTAGCACACTATAAACATCGACATCTGTAGATCAGTAAACACTGATCTAAACATTCCTAGACTGTAAAGTTCATCATGCTGCACTGCAGTATGAACATTCACATTACTTTTCTATTTATATCGTATTATATCTCATATTTTGATTACATGATAGCAAAATATTTACATCCTCGATTCGTACGACATTTAGCCTACATGTATAAGTTGCCTATATATTGTGTTTATGGATGCATATCATATTTCAGCATATTTTACTCTCTTTCACACATTTCAGTTTGGCAAGATAGGAAAAGCCCAACAAGTAAAAAGTTTATGTAAAAAAAAACAAAAAAAAACACTTTAACTAATGATCTCCTCCACTGAATAAAGCCGCGTCAGATCGCACTGTTCTTCTGAGGTAAATTCCGGCTTATTCCTCAAGTCTTCTTCCAAAAACAATGAAAAGTAGACGAATACAGATTTTTTTTTTGTATCTAGGTGATGAGGGCGTTTGCGTGCAGGTATGTCTGCAGATAATGAGCTCTAAGACGGGAAAGACTGTACCTCGCTTTAGTTTCATACAGATTACATAATCAGAGAATATTTGTTTGAATTGATTAATTTAAAAGTAGACACTTCAAGTTTTCTATAGACATACTTCTCACATCTGTGTGAAGTATTCGCCAAGTTTCAGTTAATTTTTGTGATGCGTTTCAGAAATAAGTTCACGGAGACCAAAACAGCAGAAAGCGCACCCTGTTTGTTTTGTTTATTTTACAAAATCACAGTGTTTTGTTGTTATTGTCAGTGTACACAAATAAAAGTATACCATTTATAGATTCGATTGATTTTAGTCTTATCTGTATCTGGGTATTTTAGGTCCTTTTCTCTCTTTTCAGGAAAAACTGCAAGTGAATGCGTCGGCATGCAGAGGGTTAAAGACGCTGCATTCAATTTTACCTTTAGATGATAAATTTAGATTTCAAATTCAATATTGATTTGAGAACTGTAACGCAAATACTTTATAAGATACTGTAATTAAATTACCTAAAAATAAACAGTAATCATTTACTTTACTTTTTTCAGTGGATAAGTAATTTAATTACAGTAACGCATAACTTAAGCTGCTGGAACAATTTGTATGGAAGTAAAATAATGCCATATGTCTTGGAAACAAAAAAACATGTGAATAGCACTAACTGAAAAAATAATGCATTGCATTAACAGTGCTTGCATTTTAATGCCTTGTATTTTTAGGTCCTGGAATCTAACATAGTTGTTTATTTAAGCTGTGAATATTTCAATTCAAAATATTTCACAATAATTTTCATAATTAAAAATTAATTATTCATATTCACCTTCCAGAATTCACTTCCAAAATATTCAATCTGTTTAAAAATATGATGTATAATATTCGACAGGCAAATTTCGGTCCATTTTATTTCACTTTCCAAATTCGCTTCCACAAATTCAGTGGTTAAAATTCGACAGAAAATTTGCCATTGCACATCCGGGAGCTGCAGGAAGCGGCTGTTGATGAAGACCAAAGCAACAGGTGGCTTAAGTCTTTCATTTACAAAATCTGATCTGCAGGAATGGAGCAAGCGCTAAGTAAAGTTTTGATTATCAAGGCC